AGTATAATTTCCTCCCGGTTCGTGCTTGTTGTAATATTACCATTCTATAACTGTATTTTTTGTTGTTGACTGTTCTCTTTTGTTGTAAATCTGCAAATATGGCTCGTCTGTGAAGCACTTTGTTGTACCTGTGACTTTTAAATGTGCTATAGAAATAAAATTGAAATTGAAATTGAATTGAAATTGATGGTCAAAGATGCAGCACATTTTAAATCAAAATTGTAGAATTTCAGTTTTACTTCAAAGGGGTTTCAAAAATTGTGTGTGTGTGTGTGTGTATGTGTGTGTGTGTGTGTTTAGAGTTTACAGCCTGTTATCCAAGTAACAGAACAATTGACAGGCCAAGTCTGCTTCGTCGTTATTTCATGACAAATGAAAACAAACATGATATCCAGTCCAGTTCACCACCAACACCAAAATGCCTGAAAGACCACAGAACACAACTGAAGTATATGATGTATTATTTCCCTGATTAAGAAAAGCCCTTCAAAACATCTAACCAAGTCAAGAACACTCTTAAGAAGGCGGGCATGTCATTATCAGCGGCTACAATCGAGACACGCCTTACCTTAAGAACAAGAAAGTCAAATTAGACTTTGCACAGCTGTGAAAAAAATCTTTGGACCAATGAAACCAAAATGAATCCGTACTAGAATCTTGAAAAAAGAAAAGCAGCTCATGATCTGAAGCATATGACATGATCTGTCAAACACGATGGGTTCAGTGTTTGGCATGAGCGTCTATGTTTGCCGGTCAAGCTAGGGCTGGTATTTATTAATCATGTGATGAAGTATTATACTGTCTGCTCAGATTCAGTCAAATGCTGCAAAACTGATTGGACTTCACTGCACAGCGCAGTTTCACTTAATTGTCAGGTCAGTCACCTGATGTCAGCCTAGAAGAACCTGCTTTTCACTTATTAAACACAAAACTGAATGCAACACACCCACAAACAAGCAGGAGCTGAAGGAGGCTGCAGTAAAGGCTTACCCGAGCATCTTAAAGGAGGAAACACAGGATTTGGTGATGTCCATGAGTTCTAGACTTAGTCATTTTTCATCCAAATATTAAAAACAGTTCTTATATTTAATGTTAGTTCTTTAGTTTGTTCAGTTAATTTTGAAACTCTGAACAGGGGGATTGAAAATGTCTGTATTTTTTTAAAACCCCTGTGGGAAAAAAACCTGAAAGGCTGCCCTTCAGTCACGTCATGTTTGATTTAAAATCCACTGTTGTGGTGTGCAGATGCAAAACTGCAAAAACTGTTTCACTGTCCAACAAAATATCAACCTAACTGTGTAAAAGAGGATGGATCTGAAAAATGAAGCCAGTGTAGAAGTGGCTTAAATGTGGATTCTTTGTAACAGCCAGCAGGGGGCGACTCCCCTACAAGTAATAAACAAACGGGGTTAAACTAAAATGAATTTTTTCCCCCAGTGCACCCAGGTTATCAAGTTCTGAGGAACAGTTTTTGTTTGTCAGTGTGTG